TATTGTTAGCTTTCACGAAATAATTTTAGTTGTTGCCTGTTATAACTTCTGCCGTAAATTCTTTCTATTAAAGGTTTGTCGCTGAAAATAACTGTTTTAATTTGTGGCGATACATATTATAAGTAGGAGCATTTGTAATGTAATGGATTACATTTTTATTCCTTAAACTTTTGGTAACTATACAAAAATGCTTTGTGGTCTAGTGGGTATTTTCCTTTTTCATTGGGGTCCTGAATCCTATTATGTGTCAACGGGTACACCAATAGGCTCTGGTAAATGGTAATTCCTGCAGTGGAGACCAAATATCCCGATGATGATGATAATGACGAAACATTCAATCTTCACAGCTTAACTGCTAATCCATTTTATATGTTTTACATGGATACCATATAGCAATGAATCATTCACTAATCCCGGCGATGTAGCAAGCAACATTTGCGCAAATCATGCTTAGTAATTACCACAGGTAGAGCTTATTCCCTCAGCCGATTATGGCTGCCTACCGGGTAGGTAATTTCTGTTTAATGTATTGGCACGTGCCAAATCGAAGCGATGATTTTTACTTTTGTTCAGGTAATTTTGTGAAATTGTTTCGCGTTTGTTTTCTTCAAGTTACAAAGTATAAAAAGCTAATCGAAAATGGAATAAAAATTGTAAGTGTGTGTTAGATTTTCGTACCATTTATACAGTTCAGTTCCGATACCTTTACTTTGGAGCGTGCAATACTCGGAGTTTCCCTGCCCCAAGTAACATTTTACTCCATTTAAGAGTTCACATTTAGTTCCAATGTGTACTTAAAGCATTAGTACAGTTCACTCGTGATGTATAAGCTGTATTATTGCAATTAATTACACCTATACCTGTCTAAGGGACTTATAGGAGTGTAGACTAGTGTAGAGTTATACTTTTATACGATTGTTGGTGTTATAATACTCTAACAACTATCCTTTAGTCAGCCGTCTGACTAAGAGCATTATAGGAGGGTAGAGATACGGCAACCGCTGTTTAACGGCCTACTTGTACGATGTTATAGAGCTAGCATTTTAATAGAACACACGTGGTCATTTATAAAGCCAAAGGCTGTTATGTTTACTTGTTTTAGACTGTTATACAGCTAGTAGCTGTAGTAGGACTTGTTTGTGTTAATAAAATAACCTTTTTTTACTATCTGTACAAAAGTGTTTCAATGGTTCGCATGTGCACTGTAGGCTGTTAAAAGGACTATATGTGTTGTCCATTAACATCAATAGCAGTTTATTTGTCCACAAGTACTACTCTTATTTGCTTTAAGCTGAAAATGAATGTGAATGTGATATTCTATTACACTTTTCCCCAAGCCTGTTTTTAGTTGTATTTATGGTGGTTCTGTACATGATGCAGAGGAAAATATTATGCCTGAACCTGAAAGTTCCCTTCAAAATATACAGATATCAGAGTGTGATGATTGCAGTTCTAGTGATAGTGAATACAATTTTGATTTAGACAATTATTTAACCTTTAGCAAAAAAATAAGAACATGGGCTATTGAAAATCGTATTCCTCATTCCGCTTTGAATAAATTGTCAGGCATAATAAACGAATTTAAACCGGGAACACTACCGTCTGATGCTTTAGGTATTCATACTTGACTATTAGTACCTGGGCTAGGCGATTTAACGGACATTAATAATTTTTATTGCGGATCTCTAAAATTTCAGTATTTGAAAGAATTAAAGATACACAATTGACCTGAACTAGGTACATCTTAAAGCTGTACATAAGTTCACATTAGAATAAATTTATAGACATTAGCGCTGTAGTGGTACAAATGTGGAACTTAATATAGATAACAGCATTCTAACAGAACACATGTGAACCTAATATACGCTCACCGCATTAAATTGGAGTTATAACAGTTCACATAGCCGTATTTCATTTCCACCATTTTGTTCTACATAACCTAAAATATTTACCAAATAAATCTCCAAAATTAATGCAGATTTATCACAAAATTCGCAGATAGAGCGATTGAGTTTTGGTTTCATGTTATAATTAATTACCGTAGTATAATTATAATGCCAATACAATATCAAAAACTGAAAATTGTAGATTTCCTCTCAGCCAGTTTTAAATATTTTAAAATGAATATCGCGTTTTTACAGAGGCGCGTAAATATTTTAGCTGTAAATATGTATACATTTCACGATAAAGTTGCATTCCCAATGGCATTAACATTATTAAGTATTTAAAACCCGTGTTATTATTTGCATAAATGATTATATTATCCGCCCGAGTTGTTTCCTCTTGGCACTCACGTACAAATACCAAACTAATATTAAAATGTGGAAATAATTTAGGACACACGTGAACTTTATGTAGCATTGGAGTACTTTTGTCGGACTTTATAACTTTGAAAGCTGTGCATTTAGCCACTTGTTACTCTTTATTGTCCTCACGTACGTTGTATGGTTCACACTGCGTCCCATATAGTGCCGTAAGTCAGCCTTAAGTACGATGTTACTACTTAAACTGCTATTATAATGCTATTATACTGCTAATGTACAGCCATAGTGAACTTAAAGCTGTCTAATTTGTGCCCAAACTGGTTCTATAAAAGCATTATAGCAAGCTATACAGCTCGTATACAGCTGACATACACAGCTTGTGGAGTACATGTGAACGACTATTGAACTCTTAAATGGAGTAAAATGTTACTTGGGGCGTGATCGAATCAGAAATGAGGAGATCCGCAGGAGAACCAGAGTGACTGACATAGCCCGCAGAATCGCTAAAATCAAGTGGCAGTGGGCGGGACACATAGCTCTTAGAGCTGATGGCCGCTGGGGCAGGATAGTTCTTGAGTGGTGACCACGATCCGGACGGAAGACGTAGCGTGGGCAGGCCTCCCACTAGGTGGATCGACGATCTGGTGAAGGTCGTGGGAGGTGCCTGGATGCGAGCGGCGCAGGACCGGTCTTTGTGGAAATCCCTGGGGGAGGCCTTTGTCCAGCAGTGGACGTCTTTCGGCTGAAACGAACGAACCTTTACTTTGTTGTGCTGTACCTTTATTTTATTTTAAAATAATAAGGTAAGAAGACACAACACATGAGCTACTTTTTGTGATATTATTTTATATGGGTTTATTTAATAAAGGAACATGATTGTAAAATTATAAGCTTTCGTTATAATGACTGAAACACAACTGACTTATATGTAGGCCCATAAAGTAAAATAATAATTTAATTCATTTTCATTATCACACCTTAATATCAGTAAGAAAAGCTTATTATTTGATGGACACGCTTAAGACTTCTAGGAATTTAAAAAATCTTTTGAGTGCCTAATGGATTCTTTCAGTCCAAATAAACACAGAGAGGAATCTTACCATAGGAATATAATAAATCCCATTTGATTCCTCTTTTATTTCTCCTGGTGTGCAAAAAAGTAATTGCCGCGGCGTGAAGGCTATTCCCCGAACAGATTAAATGTTAGATAGTAGGTACCTAGAGAACTTGGAAATGATTTTAGCTCAAGGTCCAATACCTTTGGTAGAAGTTTTTGTGATAGTAACTACCTAAACATTTACTTATTTTCAGGTCATGAAAAAAATTCCTCCGATACCAGTTACGTTGTTTGAATTGACATTTTCTTCATACCGTTAACACATAACGTCTCAATACATCAATGTTACCAGCAGTCCATCTTACTACGATACTCTTTTATAAAATTTAAAGACTAAACCGCTGTATCAGAGCGCTTTAAAGTAACATTCTCTAACGGATGGCTAGACCGGGATCTTAGACACAATGCATCAATTGTGATGCATCATCCAGCTTGAAGGTTCGTGATAGCATACTTATTATAAATGGTATAGTAGCTCAGACTTGTTTACGTGAATCTTGCTTCGAGAGTGTGGATAAAGTATATATTCTATTTACTGACTAAATATTATCCTGCTTTCGCCTCCGAGATTTATTTTACCGTGTAGTACCCCTGTACGACAAGCCTATCCGCACACAATATTCAGCNAATTAACATTTACTTCCGCATAAAAAACCGAAAGACCGTTTTATTATTTTTCTGATTAAATTCGTTGCGTAATTTGATTTGAATCTATGGTCCCGTGGACTATTGAGTTCTTTGAACTAGCTAGGGTATTGTTGATTGGTGGTGTCAAATACTCTATGTGGAACCTTATAATCTTATAGTTTTATTTAAAAACTAGCTTTCCGCCCGCGGCTTCGCCCGCGTGGAATTTTGTCTGTCACAGAAAAACTTTATCGCGCGCGTCCCTGTTTCAAAAATCGGGATAAAAACTATCCTATGTTCTTTCCCGGGACTCAAACTATCTCTCTGCCAAATTTCATCAAAATCGGTTGCGAGGTTTAAGCGGGAAAGCGTAACAGACAGACAGACAGACAGACAGACAGACAGACAGACAGACAGAGTTACTTTCGCATTTATAATATTAGTTGGGATTTAAAAAAGAGACTATAAGATTTTAAACTGTCGCGTTCCATTTCAACTAAAATAAAACGTCGCGTTAAGACCCGTGTGACCCGTGTCTTACTATTATAGAAGACACTATCAAAAGTTTTCAAAAATTGATCACATAATTATTCATAATTTTCCATCATTGAGATTCAGGTCAAGAGCTTTTCCCTTGTGTAAAAGAAATAATAGAACAGAAACCATTCTATTACAAAAATAGAACACCACTGTTTAGCTATAGTCTGGTCGCCGAGCACGTAGAATTTTGTCCAATGACTTCAATCTACCCATCCTTATTGCTCGCGCGTAATTATATTGCTGTCGCGACTGTGCGACGGGCGCCCGCAGTGAGTGTGCGAGCGCGACAGCAACATAATTACGCGCGAGCAATAAGGATTGGTAGCTTGGGGTCATTGGACAAAATTCTACGTGCTCGGCGATCGGGCTTTAGACTCTAGCTAGAGTAATTAACATTAGAGTTTTGACTGGTGATGTTGACTGTTAAACCATTTTTGTCATGTTTCCCGCAGTCATCAGGAGGCCTCAGTATCTGCAGCCGTCACTTCCTGGACGAAGAATGGGAGTGCGTGAGAGGCCGCGTGAGGCTCAAGCGAGCCGTCGTGCCCAGCCTCTTTGATGACGTAAGACCTTCACTCATCATCATCATCATCATTTCAGCCACAGGACGTCCACTGCTGAACATAGGCCTCCCCCAATGATTTCCACATCGCCCAGTTGGTAGCGGCCTGCACCCAGCGCTTTCCTGCTACCTTTACGATGTCGGTCCACCTTGTGGGTGGACGTCCCACGCTGCGTTTTCCGGTACGCGGCCTCCACTCCAGAACCTTGCTGCCCCATCGGCCGTCAGTTCTGCGTACTATGTGCCCTGCCCATTGCCACTTCAGCTTGCTAATCCGTCAGGCTATCGGGCGTCAGGCACTATAATAGTTTTTTAAACGTTATGGCGTACGCATAATGATGTCTTTTGTATCTGCTGAACCAATAAATTATCTTTCTTTCTTCTAAAGAAGAAATATTCTATCTTTTCTGCTCTAAAAATCGCTTTGACTTACTATTTTATGAAATTTGAATTGTAAATCTTTCACAGGTTGAAAAAGAAGCAAATAAATCCCCAGACCCGACAGAAGCCGTGCCAAATATAGACAAAAATCATGAAGACAAAGAAAAAACAAAAGAAAACGAAAATACACAAAAAGATCCCACAAAAGATAGTAAAGATCCAGAAAAAGAAACTGAATCTGAAGAAGAGAAAAGTGATAAAGAAAAAGATAAAGAAGTATGTGATAAAGAATAGGCTAGTTTCCTAAAAAAATTTTTAGTCCATCAATTTTAGTATTGAAAAATATTGGACACGTATATTTTTAATTGTCAATCAAACAAAGTTATAGTGCGTTGAAGTTCCGCGCGACGTCACAAAGTGCTGCACTTTTACGCACTCACGGGCCTTTTCTTTAGAACTTTGGCACGCTTTATCTCTTTACATTTTCATTAGTTTTATAAAGTGAAAAATAGGTGTCGAGTAGTTTTTGATAAGCTAACTGACGGACTAATTAAAACACTTGTTTTTTTTACCCAGGAAACATCCCTATTGTCAAATGGTTCAGATGAGAGAGTTCAAGACGATAGTAAGGGAAAAGAAATAAGAAGTAGCAAGAGTGTAAATAGCAGGACAAGCAGTGATAAATGTAAGGAAAGGTAAGTAGTTTCCATCATTCATCATTTCATTTGATGCACATCAAATTCAAAGTGCTTCAATCTATCATCATCATCATTTCAGCCATTGGACGTCCACTGCTGAACATAGGCCTCCCCCAATGATTTCCACAATGGCCGGTTGGTGGCGGCCTGCATCCAGCGCCTTCCCGCTACCTTTATGTGGTCGTCGGTCCACCTTCAATCTATACTAATATCATTTTTAAGAGGAAAGATTTGATTGTTTTTTTTTTATTGAATAGGCTCTAAAACTATTGACTGATTTGAACAAATATTTAGCTTTTGGAATCCGACATTATTTCTGATGGACATAGGCGGTGCGAAGTTCGCCGGGTCAGCTAAAGCCCGGTCGCCGAGCACATACAATTTTGGCCAATGACCCCAAGCTACCCATCCTTATCGCTCGCACGTAATTATATTGCTGTCGCGACTGTGCGACGGGCGCCCGCAGTGAGTGTGCGAGCGCGAAATAGGAAAGACAGAAATGGAAGATTAGTCGCCTCTTACGATATGCCCGGGAAGAATGGGAGTGGTCCTTCTATGTACAGTCGCAGAATGAAAAGGTTCGTCACCTTAGTGTCACTTTTCGCTTGCACTGGGTACTGTAAGAGTCAAACCTGCCAACATAACAGTGCAAGAAACAGTGCTGCTAACATTTAAATAAATATGACGTTTGCTAACGTATAAGGTTTTGCTTGTTTATTTTTCTATCCCATTAGTGCAATGCAATGATGACATTGACCAATTGACAATAGTTTTTTTTATTTAATAGAAATAATAATGGCCGGTTGAACCAACAAGAAGGTTTTAGTTTATCAATCATAATAATCTTCTTGACAAGATAAATCCTCAAACAACTTTGTTCTGAATAATTTTGAACTTTACTAAAGAACAGTTAAAGATTATTTTCTCTAACTCGAGATTATTCTGTAACATAGTTTCAAAAGGTAATATTATGTGCTCGCGATTCGTTGAAGGAATCAATTTGAAAACTGACGAACCTTTTCATTCCGTGACTGTACTTGCTGGAACCACACGGCTAGTGGAAATTAGATTAAAAACCTAGCCTAGCAGTGGAAGGTCGTGGGTTTAGTTCCCATATTAAGCAAAGACAATAAAATTTACAACATTAAGGCTGGGTTGCACCATCTTGCTTTGACTTTATCAAACGTCAAAAATCTGTCAAACTCCATACAAAATACAATGGTTATCGTTAAAGTTAAAGTTAGGTGGTGCAACTCAGCTTTAAACACGCGAAATAGCTATCTAGCATTCTAGTCACATATCTAACTAAATCTCTAACTTGAAATAATCGAATTGTTTAAGGTGGGAATCGAATCCACGATCTGAGTGTAATATCTAAGTAATCCCAATGTGTAAGTAGCTCAGCTGATGGTGAGAGCAGTCGCCCGGCAAGCGACACTACAGGTCGTGGGTTCGATTCCCACCTTAGACAAAAATTTTTTTTTTTCAAGTTATTTATTAACAATCCTTTCCAGCACGCCTAAACTGCCATCCGGGCCCAGGGACATAGACAAGGACAAAGTAGAAGACATTGAAGACCTGCTCACGTACTACCACATCAAACAGAACAACATCCACCAGACGGATGACGTCACCGCCCGGGACGGAACCGCCGAGGACCGGGACGGAACCGGTTCTAACCGGAACGGAACCGGTATTAACCGGAACGGGACCGGGTTTAACCGGGAGCAGACTGAAGTGGAGCAGATTGAAATTGAGGTTGAACCGATACAAGCAGAGTCGGATCCGGTGTTTATAGAGATATCCGTGGATAAAGGTATTTTTCCATCTCTATTTTAACCCTAAATACAAATTCTTTATTAGTATTGACTATTCCCACCTCTCGTTCCCACCGCTGCAACTCCTGTGTAGCCAGGATCTACAGCTTGACCGCCAATAACCCAACCAGTGAAGGTCAAGTTTGCCCCGGGGGAAAGTTAAACTGTCATTGGACCCGCAATCAAATCAAATCTTTATTAGTATGTAAGCTCCTTTCAGGGGGTTTGTATCAAACGTCATCGCTAGCGATTGCGTAAAAAATGTCATTAAATGTATGACAGATTGTACAGCGTTCCTAGCGGATACTTTCAAGAACTAAATTCTTCATAGATTTTTTGACGCATTCGCTAGCGATGACGTTCAATGCAAACTCGCACTAAGCACACTGGGCACATGTAGCACATGTAGCAAATAAAGCTTGCCCATAATTAAACAGAGGGAATATTTCCTACCATGTTATAAGTATTAGGCACAAACCCTCTTATTAATAAAAAGTTACATCTAAGATGAACCTTGAAGTAAAATGACATTTCCATATTAAATGTCAATTTAAACCAAGAGTTCAACTAGGGTGCTGGTTTAATAAGATGGTTAATGTATGTAATTTACACTATTACAATAGACAATTGCTTTGTAATAAAAAAAATTGGACGTGGGACGAGTCTGTGACGAATTCGTGACGAATCCACCAGATCGCCCAGCCGGCGGGGACACAGGCGACTGCTTAATGGTGCTGGAAAGCGTGCAAGTGGACATAGACCCGAGCGCGTTGTTGCCCGACCCCGACGCGCCTGTTGAAGATGATGCTATGGACGCCATGGAGCCCATGGAAACTGTGGAGATTGATGACGCCCCTAGCGAGTGAGTAGATATGCAGTTGCTTGTTTCGTGTCCCTTTTTATACGTGCAGTGTCCCCTTATACAGGAGCAGTGTCCCCTTATACAGGTGCAGTGTCCCCTTATAGAGGTGCAGTGTCCCCTTATAGAGGTGCAGTGTCCCCTCATACAGGTCCAGTGTCCCCTTATAGAGGTGCAGTGTCCCCTAAAACAGGTTTAATGTCCTCTTATATAGGTGCAGTGTCCCCTAAAGCAGGTTTAGTGTCCCCAATGCAGGTTTAGTGTCCCCTAATGCAGGTTTAGTGTCCCCTTATACAGGTTTAGTATCCATAAAGCAGGTTTAGTGTCCCCTAAAGCAGGTTTAGTGTCCCTAATGCAGGTTTAGTGTCCCCTTATCTAAGTTTAGTGTCCCCTTATAAAGCTGCTACGGACGCTGACAATGAGACACGGATGCTTACTTGCATAGTGTCTCCCTCCGTCTAGTGAGTGAGTTCATATAGTCGCCATAGGAGCAATCATAGAGCCCATGGAAGCCATAGATACTGCTTGATGGTGCTGGAAAGCGTGCAAGTGGACATAGATCCCAGCGCGTTGTTGCCCGACCCCGACGCGCCCGTTGAAGATGATGCTATGGATGCCATGGAGACTGTGGAGATTGATGACGCTCTTAGCGAGTGAGTAGATATGCAGTTACTTGTTTAGTGTCCCCATAAATAGGTGCAGTGTCCCCTTATACAGGTGCAGTGTCTCCTTATACAGGTGCAATGTCCTCTAATGCAGGTTTAGTGTCCCCTAAAACAGGGTTAGTGTCCCCTAAAGCGGGTTTAGTGTCCCCCAAAGCGGGTTTAGTGTCCCCTAAAGCGGGTTTAGTGTCCCCTAAAGCGGGTTGAGTGACCCCTAAAGCGGGTTTAGTGTCCTCTAAAGCGGGTTTAGTGTCCCCTCATACAGGTTTAGTGTCCCCTTATACAGGTGCAACGTCCCTTTATAGAGGTGCAGTGTCCCCTTATACAGGAGTAGTGTCCCCTTATACAGGTGCAGTGTCCCCTTATTCAGGTGCAGTGTCCCCTTATACAGGTGCAGTGTCCCCTTATTCAGGTGCAGTGTCCCCTAATACAGGTTTAGTGTCCCCTGATAGTATAGCCGCCATAGGATAGCCATGGAAACCTGCCTGCCATGCAAGTGGGCTTGGATCCAAGCGCGCTACTGCCTGCCCCAATCATAAACGTGCTATGGAGAGAGCTATGCTCGGTGTTTCTTTACAAGATCGAATGAGAAATGAGGAGTTCCGTAAACAAATTAAAGTCGCTGACGTAGCCTAGCGGATTAGCAAGCTGAAGTGGCAATGGGCACAAGGTGGACCGACGACCTCATAATGGTAGCAGGAAGGCGCTGGATGCAGGTCGCTAACAATCGCTCATTATGGAAATCACTGTACTCAGCAGTAGAAGTCTTATGGCTTAAAATTTAAATGATGAATTCAAATTCAAAACGTTTATTTGCTAAAAACACAGTAATACAGGGTTACAATATTAAAATAGGATCATGTGTTTAGTCTGCTCGCAGACGTGAAAAAATTGCAGGATTCGATATATTAATAAAATAAATGTCAAATCATTAAGAAAATGTCAATGTAAAATTAAATTAAATATGTAGTACCTATCAATGTCACCATCATAAACCATGTAATATTTTTTAGTCGGCCGTTTGGTGTAGTGGTTCAGAACGGACTACTATGCCGAGAGGTCCCGGGTTCGATTCCCGGCCGGGCAGAAATTGAAATGATGAATTTTAATTTCTGTGACGGGTCTGGGTGTGACTATGTATAATATTTATGTATTTAAAAAAAAGTATATAAGTAGTATATCCGTTAGCTAGCACCCATAACACAAGCATTAAGTTGCTTACTTTGGGGCTAGCTGGCGCTGTGTGAAATTGTCCAAAGATTTATTATTATTATTATATTTGTAGAACATTTCCCCAACTCTTTATCTTTGTTCCAGAAAACACGACCCCATCAGCCTGCTAACCTCAAGCGACGAAGACGATGTCATAATCCAAGAGCCTCACATCGACACCGTCGAGGTCTCCGACGAAACCGACGAGGACGATATGCCTTTAGTCAAACTGCTCAAGAAGCGACGAGCTGAGAAAAAGAAAAAAAACCTAGAAAAGAAAAAACTGGACAAACGAAGATCCGACACCATAGCCCAAATCACGTGGGGATTGTATGAATATTATTGCGTGCAATGTCACTTTAAGACAACGAACGCAGCGGAGTACAGAAGGCATATGGCTGCCCACGCTAAAGTGATATTAATGTGCCAGCTATGCGGATATATGACCGCCAGTTCCAGTCAATTTGCAAAACACGAAAAGCAACACGGAGAAAAAACGCTATACAAATGTCATCTATGCGATTATAGAACGAAGAGGAATATAAACCTAGCGTACCACATGAAAAGCCATAAGCCTAAGGACGTGTGTAATTTCGTCGATGAAAATAAGTTGTTAGTGGAGTCAAAGTTGTGTGACGATAAAAAGTATAAGTGCAATAAGTGTGAGTACGCCACGAAGAAACGGTCTGATCTTAAACGGCACAAGTCGAAGAAGCATATGGAGGATAGCGATAATGATGAGGATTATGTGCCTCCTAGGGTCTTTTGAGTTTTCATTGAAGGACTGTGTGCTTACCATAGAGAACTAGAGCATTGGTTCCCAAACCGCCTCTGTGGTCTAGTGGTAAGACCACCTGCTTCAGACGCAGAGGTCCCGGGTTCGATTCCCAGTGGGAGCAGATTTTTCTGTTCGGTTTGGTTGTTGGTAGGGCTTGTTCTAAGTCCGGCTTCCTGGCTAGCTACCATCATCTTACCTAAGTCTGTCGCCATAACAACAATGTTAACAGCATTGTTGTGTTCCGGCGGTTAGAGGTAAGATAGCCAGTTCCTCCGTGGTTGAGGATTCCGGGTGAAGCTCGCTTCCACCTTCGACCTGATCGTCACTTACCATCAGGTGAGATACAGGCCAAGAGCTTCCTCGTTGTGGATAAAAAAAAAAACTTATTTGAGACGCGCCCCCTTTCGACCACAGTCACTAAAATTCAGGATTTTTATACTTAAGTACACAGATGGCCCGCGCCCCCTTTAAAGGTCACTTTGGGAACCAATGACAAGAGAGATGACAACTTATGCGCCAAGTTCGAAACCCAGTGTCGCATTTCGAGGGGTGTTCAGAAAGTAATGAGAATGGGATATTTCTAGCCATCACAAAGATCTGAAAAAGTTGGGCAGGTAGCTTAATTCTTCACTAAAGCCCGGTCCGTGAGCACGTAGAATTTTGTCCAATGACCCCAAGCTACCCATCCTTATCGCTCGCGCGTAATTATGTTGCTCACTGCGGGCGCCCGTCGCACAGTCGCGACAGGAATTACGCGCGAGCGATAAGGATGGGTAGCTTGGGGTCATTGGACAAAATTCTACGTGCTCACAGACCGGGCTTTAGAAACTTGCAAAAAATTCATTTAAGTTCACCATTGCGTTTAAGAATTACATTCACCTAACCACGACCAGTCAGATGATTTTCTTGACTCTCCAAAAAGGCCTAAAAAGGACACTGCCTCGACAATTCCTCAAATATCAGGTCCCTGAACTACTTATACATTAAATTGCTTAGATCGAACTCCTATGTTCTTCTGACTAATTTCGTTGCGGGGCCAATGACAGTTTAACTTTCCCCCGGGACAAACTTGACCTTCATTGGTTGGGTTATTGGCGGTCAAGCTGTAGATCCTGGCTACACAGGAGTTGCAGCGGTGGGAACGAGAGGTGGGAATAGTCCCGTATACACATAGTCGACTTGAGATTTCATATTTCTTGCAGGGTTCCTAATACATTATAGTCAAAACTTTTATAAATAACACTAGTCAACAAAAAAACAACTTTTGCATGTAACATGAAAACTTTTGTCTGGTTATGATTAGGACAAGGATAAGGATACTAGAAATACAATTTAAATGTTTTAAATACGAATAGTTTTTTTGTAATACCGTTTTATAACATTTTAGAAATTTTGAATTTTTATCAACAAGAAGAAGTTATTTCGATTTATTGCAACTTTAATATGAATTTCCTTTTATGATTTTCGTCTGTATTTTGCTTCAGAAATGTCTCGTTTTAATGTCCAACAGTAATCCGCTAACATTCGTGGGCTCCACTAGCTTTGATATCGCTTTTCTATGGTAGAAGTCTTGATAGAATCTTTCACCGTGTTCATCGCTGATGGCGCCCAAATTTTCAGGGAAGAAGTCTAAATATGAATGAAGAAAATGTATTTTCAATGACATATTACAGGCCAAAGCCTTATAAGTAGATAAAAGCTCCGCAATAATACATTTATGGTCACTTGATCGGTGATTTCCTAGAAAATTGGAAGTTACTTTCATGAAAGATTCCCAAGCTGATTTTTCTAAATTACTAAGCTTTTTTTAAATTAATATATCATCTTTTATCAATTTCCCTGATTTGAGGGCCAACAAATATGCCCTCAAAGTCAGGATCCAATGTGTCTTTTCGATTTTTGGCGTAACGGCCAGATCGCTAGTTTGAGGTGGTTCTGGTAGCGGACTACCGATAGATCTTCACTATGAGGGATCGGTCTTTTAGCTGAAGGCTGAAGGCAGGTCAGGATACTTAATTTTACTTTGTAATACCTTTTTTGTATCAGTAAGACAAAAATGACAATCAGATGAGTGATTCGTTGGTTCCGCCCAAACCATAGGGATTGCAAAAGGCATAGATCGAGATCTTTTCGCTCACCCAGTGAAAAGACCCACACATGTAACACAACAGATGTATGGAATCCTCACTTTGTCTTGTTGTCCGATGGAAAAGCCAAAAAACTGTTTATGTAACTTAGTTACTAATGGTGTCAAATTTCTTCGCTGAGTTTTGAAAGTAATGTCACCACAAATTAAAAAAACTTGTAAGGATCATTTTTGCACTTTCTTGACATTATTTAAGAATCACTTAACTCTAAAAACAGAACAAAACACTACGCTCTTCAAATAAACAATTTCTCTGAATGCGAAAGTGAAACAAAAACGGTTAAATTTTAATTTTGTGTGGGTAGTAGCTGTAACACGAAAACTAGACCTGTTGGAATCAAAATAAATATGGGAATAAATTGAGGGTAGGTAGGTAATTTAAAATTAGCAAGCACATTTCTTGTTACAAAATTTTGTTGACCAGTGAATCTACAAAACTTGGTCCTGGGACGATATTAACTTTTTATCAGAGCAGTTTCATATGCTGATTCCATGATTGATTGAGTTTACCTATCTCTGTCGCACATGCCACGAGTTTACCTATCTCTGTCGCACATGCCACCTTATCACTTTAGTGAAAAATATGAATAATTAAGAAATACAGTATGTTTGCCTCGATCTGTGTTTACTATGAAATTTTTAAATCTTAACAAAATATAATTTGATTTTATTACACACGTAGTATTAAAACACATCAATGCATCAGTTCGATAAATTCCAATGTACAGTATTAATTTAATTCAATAATGGTTAAATAAATTAATTGTAGTTAAATGAAATAAACTGAATCCGAGTATTCCACTTGTAGTGGCACAATATTATTATACTGCATTATTATGATATGCAAAGTGCGTACATGCAAGCATGCGACATTATTATGTTATGCAAAGAGCATACATGCATGCATGCTGCATTATTATGACATGTAAAATGCAAATGCATGTCCTGAGTATGAGCTTACTTAGCAAAATTACTTCTCATTGGGCACTCATAATTTATTTGCCTCTCACTTAAACATGCTGGCGTGAGTGAGACAAAAAATATGTTAACCCACTGCCTGTTGTTTTTGTATTATTGTGTTATTATCATATTCCTTAACTACACAGTGATATTTTGTATTTAATAAGGTATTTGTTGACTTTATAACTACAACGTGTTAATGAAAAAGTGCAAAAACTTAGACACCCTAACTTATATTTATTATAAAAGAATTATGTAAATTATTAAAATTAATTTTCGCGGATTATTTACGAAGATATTCACTCTTTTTGTTTTCGCCCTAGAAACCCTAGAAACGTATTGATCTTTTACTCGCTGATTGCAAGGCATGCACGCCAATGAGTAGGTTAGTAGTTAGATAGTTCATACACCTCTGATAATAGAGTTAAGTAACACGGCGTAATTAAAATATTTTTTTGGTTAAAATTTGACCCTATTTTTTATTAGTGGAATCGATTCTACTCTCGATTCCGAACAAACTAATTTCAGGGATTGCGCTTTTTCATTAACACGTTAAAAAAATGTGACTTACATTATGGAATCTCCTACAGGTTAGGAGTTTTATCAAATATGCAAGTGTATTGTCGATGATACTGAATAAACATTTTTTCTTTCTTTCTTTCAAATATAAACATGATGTGACATCTTTAGCTATAGGTTTAGTGCTTAAATCAGCCAGATGGCAATGCCAGATTTATGTAAATGTTGCAATTTCATACAAAACTTGCGCGCAAAAAGCAAATCTAGTATGTAAAATCATCAAACTTCTAATGCTCGTAACTCAGGTCAGACTGAGTTTAGAGGTATACATGTAATATTAAGTTTGGTTTATTACACTATTTTGTAATAAAAAAAACAAGGTTTCCGGCATTGTCTTTTATACAGGGTGTCCCAGAATGGGTGAATCAAACTGATAGGGGAGGTAGCTCTATGCGAATAAAGGCTAATAATGTAGTCACGGAATGAAAAGGTTCGTCAGTTTTCAAATTGATTCCTTCAACGAATCGCGAGCACATATTACCTTTTGAAACTATGTTACAGAATAATCTCGAGTTAGAGAAAATAATCTTTAACTGTTCGTCAGTAAAGTTCAAAATTATTCAGATCAAAGTTGTTTGACGATTTATCTTGTCAAGAAGATTATTATGATTGATAAACTAAAACCTTGTTGGTTCAACCTGCCATTATTATTTCTTTTAAATAAAAAAACTATTGTCACTTGGTCAATGTCATCATTGCATTGCACTGATGGGATAGAAAAATAAACAAGCAAAACCTTATTCGTTAGCAAACGTCATATTTATTTAAATGTTAGCAGCACTGTTTCTTGCACTGTTATGTTGGCAGGTTTGACTCTCACAGTACCTAGTGCAAGCGAAAACCGACACTAAGGTGACGAACCTTTTCATTCCGCGACTGTACATTAGTAGAGCTACCAGTTTGATTCACCCATTCTGGGACACCCTGTATGCTCAGTCACATCTTAATATGTCAATTGTCACCCTTCTAGTGCCGCTCCCAAACCTCAGGCACTGAGTAAAGCCCTAGATCTATAGACCCAAAATTGTGGTAAATCCTGGTCCGTGAGCACGTCGAATTTTGTCCAATGACCCCAAGCTACCCATCCTTATCGCTCGCGCGTAATTATATTGCTGTCGCGACTGTGCGACGGGCGCCCGCAGTGAGTGTGCGAGCGCGACAGCATCATAATTACGCGCGAGCGATAAGGATGGGTAGCTTGGGGTCATTGGACAAAATTCTACATGCTCGCAGACCAGACTATAGTCATACTCCGAATAACTTAATTAATAAACAAATGTCCGTTTTCACCATCAAGCCCTAATTTTTAAGTGACCCCTATGAAAACAAAATGCCTGTTGTCTTACCATAGGGGTCACTTAAAAATTAGGGATTGATGGTGAAAACGGGCATAATAGTTAACATTGCAATAATAATAAAAAATACATACATGTTGTATGTTGTAAATATGCTTGCCCTAACAATTATGTTACCTATTTTAGTGAATATTATTGTTTAATGTCCAATTAGTAGTATTTTATTATTTTATGTATGTATTATTAATTTTATGTCCTATTATAAAACTTGAGTATGTACAGCGGCGTCAAATAGTTCGTGCCACCCAAAGTAGCCAAAAAGTTCGCAACACGTCTTTATTACAATGGACAAGTTTCCAATTTTTATCTTTTAATAAAACTTGAAAATATAAGTAAAATTAATAATAATTGTGAAAGAATCATGAAAATATCTCTACAAATACAAGAGTTACAGGGCCCCTAATGTTGCGCATAACAAAATTCGCGCAATTTTGATTCGAAGTATTCACGACATTTATTCGAAGTACAAACAAATCAATCACCCCTGCCCCCCTAGACAAAACGCACTTTTTGATCGAATCGAAAATCGAATCTGTCAAAACTCCATACAAAATAGGGGCTTTTCGACCACTTTTCGACTGGTTTGCGATCATAATTTGCACTTTGTCTAGACCCACTGGTCCAGTGCTGTTGACAGATCCAATTATTTTTTAAATCTCGTAGTTTTTAATTTTTCAGCCAATCACTCAATATTCTTTCTTAGTAAAATTGTATAACCTTTTTTGACATATCCAAGACCTGACCATATTTAAAAGGAAAAAGAAGACTGACATTAGGTATAGTGTCATTCTCGACAATTCGTTAGGAGTGGTAAGCGTTGTGATTGAAACTTGAACAGCCCCCCTAGACAAAACGCACTTTTTGATCGAATCGAAAATCGAATCCGTCAAAACTCCATACAAAAAAGGGGCTTTTCGACCACTTTTCGACTGGTTTGCGATTATAATTTGCACTTTGTCTAGACCCACAGGTGGCCTGACGTCACGGCACCGCCTATGTTTAAGTTCCACTTGAAAATATGGAGGTAATTTAAATAATCAATTTCTCAAATTCAAATTCAAATTCAAAATATTTATTGCTTACTAAGTGACAATTTGTAATGCTGTAAATTACATAATATACAGGAGCTTAAAAACTTAGTTACCTGAGTGGTATCGCAATAGAGTAGGTTGGAGTAGGTGGCCATTTAAACATTAATGGTAGTATTATTAATATTAATTAACTATAATAAGTAATATTATTATTATTAAACAACTTATAAAATAACTACAATCTAAGTAGGATTAAGGTTGATAACTTATTGACTAAAGTAGTTGGTTGGTATAATATTTTTTATGATCTATTGTTAGGTATTCATTAATTGAATAAAAACATTTGGATATTAAATAGTCTCTAAGGGCTTTAGAGAAGCGTTTAACATTTGGTTCAGTTTTTATATATTCTGGAAGTTTGTTAAATAATTTTACCGACATATAGTAGGGGCTGGTATTTAACATTTTTATTCTTGATGGGGGTAAGTAAAGTTTATCCTTATGCCTGGTATTTATATTATGTGTGTCCTTAACTTTTGTAAAATTGTGAATATTTTTGTAGGTAAATATACATGTATCATGGATATATATTGATGGTAACGTAAGTAGATTATATTTAATGAAGTAAGGTTTACATGATTGTGTATTGTCTATTTGTGCTATTATTCTGATACATTTCTTTTGCATTATAAAGAGATCAATGAAGTTTGTGCTGTTTCCCCAGAGTATGATGCCATATTTTAATTGGGAATAAGCGTAGGCGTAGTATGCTGCTAATGCTGCTTCTGTATGTGTACTGTGCGTTATTTCATAAAGAGCGTAAGTGAATTTGGATAGTTTTGACTTAATATGTTCTATGTGGTTTGGTTTCTTAGCCATTTCTTGATGGATTTCAAAAATAACTTCACAGGCTTTTTAGTTTTGGTCTATATTTTAATCCCATTCAGTGAAATCTAATGTTTTCAATCACGAAACTTGTCCATTGGAATATGGTTGTGTTGTCAACATTTTGGCCACTTTGGGTGTCAGGAACTATTTGACGCTGACTAAGAAACAATAATAATTTGAAGTGTGTGTATGGTCTATGAAAATAATGACACACTTGACTTCTTGGCGGAAAAGTAAAGCGCCATTTTTGATCATCATCATTTCAGCCACAGGACGTCCACTGCTGAACATAGGCCTCCCCCAATGATTTTTACATCGCCCGGTTGGTAGCGGCCTGCATCCAGCGCCTTTCTGCTACCTTTATGAGGTCGTCGGTACACCTTGTGGGTTTGTTTTGCAGAAATTACCATTATAAAGCAACATCACGGATCTAAAAATGTAATTTTAAATTTTTGTAAGTATGTTAAGAAAATAGTAGTTCGTGTGATTTTTAAATTAAGGTATTAACATTGCTATGTGTCTTGCGCGAACGTAAGACCGTATAGATCGTTTCATCCACTCGGACGCGTTCCACCATTCTTCCGCGAATGTTTGAGTGTTATCGGTACACGCTACATCATCCATGAGTGCACACGCACACTACAGTAATGCCTTACGGCTTGCTCGGACCACACTCCCCGCACCCCGCGCGACTGAGACCAAACATCGCTGGCGCGGCCGAGTGGATGAAACGATCTATACAAAATATGTATACATGTACTTATGTGGATATACCTATGCATTTCTGTCTCCGCTCAATATGTACAGTTTTGTATACATAAGCGAAGGTTGTGGCACACTTGTTGTATAAACGAGGTTTGTAAATATGTGATGATGCGTAAATAATGAATGTGAGAAATCATTGTAAATATATTTTGATCTTGTTCAAAGAGTGTTTTTATTTTTATGACCGAATTTTAGTTGTACCCAATTAGGGTTCTTCAGTTAAGAGGACTCGCATTTGCATTCACCAGTAGCCTTATTCACGTAACAAAACTTCAACGACAACAAATCGCTGAGTTGCGATCCTATCGAGTAATCGTTCTATCGAAATGACCCTTGTGAATACGGATTTAGAACTGTTTTTCAATGGGACGACTTCTGAACGTCAGCGAGATCTTGACTGACAAAATACGTGAATTAGGCCACAGGTTGGCGCCACTGTCTAAAGCCCGGTCTGTGAGCACGTATTTTGTCCAATGACCCCAAGCTACCCATCCTTATCGCTCGCGCGTAATTATATTGCTGTCGCGACTGTGCGACGGGCGCCCGCAGTGAGTGTGCGAGCGCAACAGCAACATAATTACGCGCGAGCGATAAGGATGGGTAGCTCGGGGTCATTGGACAAAATTCTACGTGCTCGCAGACTAGACTATAGTACCTACTTATGATAAGGCTCACTTGGAAAATATTTGACTGCGCATGCTTGACTTACAACCCAATCGAGCTAACTGCGCTAACACGCACCTTGCTGGAATGCTACTCTCCTTCCCCCTACCCGCACACCTCTCCGCGTTCGCCCCGTCGTCCGTTCCAGAGACTCGATGTGACATCACGGCTGCCAGGTGCCCAGTTAACTTGATTCGAGTAGTATACCGTACGTGACAAAACGAGGGTTTAATGATAGATCGCCCGGAGTCCTGCCAGCAGGACTTAAAGTACTTCCGGTAGGACGCAAAATTAAAAGATCACAGTTTCGTAAGTATACATTGTACAAATTTCAAATTTACACGAAAAAATAGAGTGTTTCTCTCTCTTTCACCCAATAGTGCCCAAGATCGAAAAACGCGACTAACCGTTAGTCGGAGCCCGATGGCGCACGAGTATACACGGGGGCAGCGCGTTCGCGCTCGCGCGACACATTTTGACGCGCCGGGCGTGGAGTCGGCAACATTTTGGCGATAATATTATAATGAATGTGAAGTATTCCAGCCTAATCAAACATTTATAATTTATTTCTTGTTTTTGTTTTTAATTTGTAGTGTATTTGTAAGTGATAGGTGTAATTTCTAATACAAAGTGACGTACCAAAGTAATTAATTTAAAGTTCCTTATTATAGTTCCTATTAGTTAAGTTGAAAGAAGATAAACAAGTTTATAATATATTAAGAAAAGTAAAATACTGGTTAAACAAAATGATTCTACGACATGACTTTTTATTTAATAAACACTAACCAAGTGTTTACTACTTCTGGTGAGGATGAGTTCAAATTTGAAGGTCACCGTACTGCTGGAAGGACCAGCAAGCAAANAGAAGATAAACAAGTTTATAATATATTAAGAAAAGTAAAATACTGGTTAAACAAAATGATTCTACGACATGTCTTTTTATTTAATAAACACTAACCAAGTGTTTACTACTTCTGGTGAGGATGAGTTCAAATTTGAAGGTCACCGTACTGCTGGAAGGACCAGCAAGCAAACACGTACAAATTGCGTACTGCGGGCAGGACTTGCGATAATCTTCTGGCAGGACGTTTAGAACAAAAGACCAGTCCTTCCAGAAGAGCCTTCCAGCAGGACAAAGCACCGGGCGATCTATCATTAACAACCTAAAAGCTTATAAACCTCAAGTGGATCATCATCATCATCTCAGCCGTAGGACGTCCACTGCTGAACATAAGCCTCCCCCAATGCTTTCCATGTTACCCGGTTGGTAGCGGCCTGCGTCCAGCGCCTTCCTGCTACCTTTATGATGTCGTCGGTCCACCTTGTGGGTCGACGTCCCACGCTGCGTTTACCGGTACGCGGCCTGCACTCCAGAACCTTGCTGCCCCATCGGCCGTCAGTTCTGCGTACTATGTGCCACTTCAGCTGCTAATCCGTCGGGCTAAGTGTGTGGATAAGAAGTAAAAATGCGTATACGTATAAAAATAATAATTTAATACTAGAGTACAAGTTAAGTAGGGTAGGTGATCAGCAGAAGGACGGCTTGTTGACGGCCACGCGGCACACCAGGCCGCGCAGGTTGGTGAACGCCTCATCCTGATTGGCCTGATCGAATTTCTGGAAGAGGAAAACGTTGGTTAAAGCTAACACCAGTAAGGAGTAGGGTAAAGTCATTTTATTATTCTGTACTCTAATGCCCGTTTCACCAAACGAGCATAATGATGCCCGTTTTCACCACCATCAATCCCTAATTTTTAAGTGACCTCTATGGTAACAAATAACAGGTTTTTTTTATGCATACCAAGGCAGAGCCCCGATTACGGTAACTTTTATAACGTCTACAATCCAGACGCGTTTCTGATTCTGCGATACGATTGGTCAAAACAGCTGACGTACGCTGTTGAACGACCAATCGTATCGCAGAATCGAGAAGCGTGTCTGGATTGTTGACGTTAAAAATTACCGTAATCGGGGCTCAGGTATTTGACAACAATCGCAACCAATGTTAAGTGGGATGTAGTCTAGGATTTTGTTTTGTTTTTTGTTTGTCTCTTAAAAATTGGGGATTGATGGTGAAAACGGGCATAAGACTCCCTGCAGGTGCCCATGCGTAGGTGCAGGAACGAAAAAAAAAAATAGTTCCAAAGTTCTAGTAGGTATTAATGTTATCTGTGGTAACTAAGTTATTAATTGTGGTTAAATGACAAAAAGAAATGACTCGAAGATGCTCGAGGGTAGCTATAAAAAATCTGTGACAAAGTTTCGTGTTCCTCTCAAAAGAGTGGGTAGTTGTAAAACGGAGGGTACTTTGGCGCTTTGCACTTTCCGTTCAGTACCTCTAGTAGGAAAAACTTTCGAGTTCGTTTCGTTGCGTATTCAAAGTGTCATCGAAAAATTTTGTATGAAAAATTAAACAGCGCCCCCTATATTATAGCCGCCCTAGGGGGCGCTGTTTAATTTTTAATACAAACTTTTTCGATGACACTTTGAATACGCAACGAAACGAACTCGAAAGTTTTTCGTACTAGAGGTACAGTACGCGTCGCGATTTCGTACAGACTGAGCGTTTGTTTCGTGGTGGTGGTGAAATTAATGCTGTTTTTAAGTAATTTTGTTGTGTATTGTGAAGTGTAGTGTAGTGATGAACTCTAAACTGTGATTCAGAACAGCGCTATGGTGGTGTACTTTCTTCATTGTGTGTCATTTTCAGCTTAAGGCACTTTAAGGTAAGTGATTACTCCTAAGTATTGTTTGGTGGTGGTAGGTTAGGGATAAATAATATTCTGAGACGGTTTAAAAGCTCGATTGCAAATGATAATTATTATGACGCAGGTTTTAAAGCATATTTTTAAAGCTTATTTAAGCGTGTTGGTGTTTATCTTTTTTACAAGTATTTACAAATAAGTAAATAAAGTTTATTTAATAAACTAACTTCCAAAATGGCGCAGCGACCCAAAGTGAGTTTTGGCCTCCGACAATAAGAATCTCCATTCCAGTCTGTTCTGTGCTACCTCTCATCGCACAAGTCCTATTTAATAAATAAGTATAAATAACTATTGAATCTCACCTCATTGATAACAATAGTGGGCACGAATCCCAGCGGCCTCTGGACGGTGTCGGTCTTGTCTCCGTACGTCGCGAGCAGCGAGTCTCCTTGCGCGCCGCTCGCGCAGGTCTTCAGCTTGGTGGATTCTGACTCTTTCTTCACTTGGGCGAGGCACTGTGGGAGAGAGAGACGGTTAGATGTTTGTGGAGGTTACACGAAAGCGGCTTTTAGACTTGTGCTAACTCGCGCAAGCCTTCAGCTTGGTGGATTCTGCCTCTTTCTTCACTTGGGCGAGGCACTGTGGGAGAGAGAGACGGTTAGATGTTTGTGGAAGTGCTACGATAGCAGACGATAGCGGCTTTTAGAATTGTGCTAACTCGCGCAGTCCTTCAGCTTGGTGGATTCCGCCTCTTTCTTGACTTGGGCGAGGCACTGCGGGAGAGAGAGACGGTTAGATGTTTGTGGAGGTTCCACGATAGTGGCTATTAGGATTGTGTAAAGTAGGCGGAAAACTTTCCAATAAATGTGTCCATTAAGTACAAAGAAATTTTCGCGCTTGTGTCTTCGCGCTCATGTCTTTCGCGCTCGTGTCGTAACTACATGTAAACAGCAAAGAAATCAAAATGGCCCATGAATACTTAGTTTACAACAGAATATAATACAGTGTGAGTCACGTTAAAGTGTACATATGAAAATAGATGAAACTAGACCTATTTTTATCGACAAAAAAGTGGTCAAAATTTTTTTGAGATTTTTTTTTAATTTTTTATAGATTTTTTTCCTTTCAAGTACTTATTGTACAGAAAACGTAATAACTTTTAAACTAAGAGGTATATCCTGATAAAATAAAAACAGTAATAATGCTAAATAACAGACGATACTAAAAAAATACATAAAATACTCAGAAAATGCCAACAAATAATAAAAAACGATACTTTTTGAAAAAAATCTGCTTAAAAATTCGTGTTTTTTTGGTTATTTGATAAATTTCTCCAAAAAATGCCCCTATAAAAGGTAGTTTTTATTACTTTGAATTATTCTCTATCGTATTACCTTTGTAAAACCAAAACTCGCATGTCTCTATCCCTATCACAACATTTGCTATGATCGTTTGAACTAAGCCTCTCCGGGCGCGCCATTCAATGCTTCGCTAACAACGAAACTGAAAATGGCTCTAGATTTGTAATTTTGATAAAGACAAGTTAGATTTCAAGTAAAAACAAAAGATTTCGAAGTAAAATAAGCATTTTAGTTAAAATTAAAATTGTCCCTACCTGTAGAGGAGAATAATGTTGTGGTAGGCCTTTGTTCAAACTATCATAGCAAATGTTGTGATAGGGATAGAGACATGCAATTTTTGGTTTTACAAAGGTAATACGATAGAGAATAATACAAAACAATAAAAACCACCTGTTATAGGGGCATTTTTTGGAGAAATTTATCAAATAACCAAAAAAACACGAATTTTTAAGCAGATTTTTTTTTAAAAGTGTAATTTTTTATTATTTGTTGGCAATTTGTGTGTATTTTATGTATTTTTTTAATATCGCCTGTTATTTAACATTATCACTGTTTTTATTTTATCAGGATATACCGCTTAGTTTAAAAGTTATTACGTTTTCTTTACAATACGTAATTGGAAGAAAAAAAATTCTATAAAAAATTAAAAAAAAATCTCAAAAATTTTTTGACCTCTTTTTTGTCGATAAAAATAGGTCTAGTTTCATCTATTTTCATATGTACACTTTAACGTGACTCACACTGTATAACATTGGTCCATTGGTTTAAGACTTAGATCCTGGCTACACAAACCTTTGTTTGTCTCCTGTCATCAGCTTTGCACTGGAGGGAAGTCGAACCTTAACTTCGAACTCCTATGTTCTTCTGATTAATTTCGTTGCGGGTCCAATGACAGTTTAACTTTCCCCGGGACAAACTTGACCTTCACTGGTTAGGTTTTTATTGGCGGTCAAGCTGAAGATCCTGGCTACACAGGAGTTGCAGCGGTGGGAACGAGAGGTGGGAATAGACCTCTGGTCTAAGACTTACCGTGTCGAGCGACTTGTCGGGCTGCGCCTGGCCCATGAGACAGATGACCAGCTCCATCTTCTCCGTGTCCTGCAGCTTGCGGTCCTTCAGGATGCACGATTGCACCTGGGGGGAGGAATAAACAAAATAGAATCAAATAAACCTTGGACATTCACTACGCGATCTAGTCCCAAACTAAGCCTACTACAAGTACAGTTTCTAACTGTATGTTCTTCTAAAGCCTGGTCCGTGAGCACGTAGAATTTTGTCCAATAACCCCAAGCTACCCATCCTTATCGCTCGCGCGTAATTATATTGCTGTCGCGACTGTGCGACTGGCACCCGGAGTGACTGTGCGAGCGCGATAGCAACATAATTACGCGCGAGCGATAAGGATGGGTAGCTTGGGGTCATTGGACAAAATTCTACGTGCTCACAGACCAGACTTTAGTTAATAGAACGGTACGAGAGTCTCCTCTCGACTTAAAGTTCTGACTTCTATTCCCAGATGAGACAGTAAATAGTGCAAAATCGCTTTTTAAGCTATTTATTCCCAGTTGGGTTAAGACATTGCAGGCTTGAATCAAACTGGATGATAATCCAACGTCTTCGTTTGGATAGAACCATTTCAGCTAAGATACTACTTAGTGGTTATGAGAGATAAGTAAAGTATTTAGTTAAATTACCTTATTTCCGTAGCATTCATCAGGTCCGTGGTGGCAGATGAACTGCCATTTGCCGTCCACTTTGTCGTGCTGTGACAAGACAAAAATGCCAAATCAAAAACTGCAAATTTTCACATTAATATTAATATTTAAAGTAGATATAACTAGGTAGTAGGACCATAAAGTTAATTCATTCGGGATAGAGCAATAAAATAACCACGAGCTGTCAAACGAAACCTTACGCATCTCTTTTTATCACACACGCCCGTATTGACAAACATTATTATGAGGTCTCACAGTGCGCGTGCGACACACAGGGTCACACACAAACCAATCACAGAGATCTATTCAACGCTGTGCGTTCGATTTTCTGCTTCACATAAGCAAGCATCGTTTGTGAACGGGCGACAGTGATGTTGCTGCTAGTGACATCTCGCTTTCTCAGTTCTTTGTTGCTCTATTCCGCTTTATGTTGGAAGACTCACCGTGCTCTTGCCGTAAGGCACCAGCTTGACCTTGACGACTCCTCGGAAGTCCCTCCAGACGGGCGCCAGCTGCTCCGTGATGAACTTCTTGCTGTCCGGGCAGAGGGACTCGTAGTACACCGCTATCTTTACCTGGAAACACAAGTCATCATCATCATCATCATCACCATCATCCACTTTGGTTCATTGAGTACCCCACCCCATTGGCGTATCTAGCCTACTTTACAAGAGGTCTAGGTTACTTTTCAAGACTGTGCTTACCATGAATTTACGTTGGGTGTGCTCGCTATCAAAAAAATGGATAGGAAGATTTTAGTTCTTGAAAGCTTCCGCTAGAGGCGCTCTGTACAATCCGTCATACATTTAATGTCACTTTTTAAGCCAAATTAGACCCCTCTCTTATAAAGAGACAAATGGGGCCTGCAATGACCGAGTCATACCAATAGGTACCACTTATAGCAATGTTGTCTTGTTCAATCACTGCTCTATTTCGTAATCATACCAAAACTGTGGCAGTATTCCCATTGCAACGACATTCTTTATTTACCAGGAGCAAAAAGAGGACGCTGTCCAGACGATTAATCCCTCGGAGGAGTGGGTTGAATTTGGTGAAAGATTCAAAGTCTTGCTAATATTTAGTTGGGGACCTCATATGTAGATTCTATAAGATCTCCTAGATAGGTCACTTGCAGATTAAGAATCCTTATTTGATTGAGATTGTACGCATGAGTTCGTTCGTTCGTTTCAGCCGAAAGACGTCCACTGCTGGACAAAGGCCTCCCCCAAGGATTTCCACAAAGACCGGTCCTGCGCCGCTCGCATCTAGGCACCTCCCGCGACCTTCACCAGATCGTCGGTCCACCTAGTGGGAGGCCTGCCCACGCTACGTCTTCCGGCTCGTGGTCGCCACTCAAGAACTTTCCTGCCCCAGCGGCCATCAGCTCTTCGAGCTATGTACGTATGAGTGTAAATTAATATCTTTGGACAAGTTCTAAGTAGCAGCACAGAATAATAATAAGTACTACGTAGTAGCAGGCATCAAACTTACTTTGTCTTCAGACTTCTTGGTCTTGGCCAGGGCTCCGTAGATGGTGACGAGCAGACAAAACACCAGTAAACTCTTCATTTTGTTCTGGAACGGAGAATATTTTTAAATATTTCTTAAAAACTTAAGTACTACCTATATTAATTCTGTGTCGTTTTTTAACGACACATGCCAGTAAAATGGAAAAGCAGCTTGCATGCTTTTAACGACATTTACAAGTAACTGATGAAATTTTTATTGATAAAAAATCTACTTAAACTTAGTTACCTAACTCAACAAAAGACTATTTAAGTCTTTGTGGAATATGTCTATCATAATATAATTGTGATCTAATTATTATGACAAGTTGTGTAAAATAACGAGGGCATTGTTAAAAACATTAGCACAGTTGAAGGCTCTTCACCTACATTGTAGTAGGTAGGTACCTATATTAGTTGATGCTAGAAACTTACATCATAGAAGAGAACAATAGTGTGGGAATATTCCCATAAGTACTGGTATGTCTTTCTTCATATTTTTTTGTAATAACTATCATTGATAAACCAAGAAAGATGATGTGAGAATCGTAAGACAAACAAAATGAATTGGCTTTGTGTGTGAGTCTGACAAATTACCAATTAATACCCTTTAGATTTGAAATTGTAGGATTAACATAATCAATTTTACCAAAAAGTCTTCATTAAAAAAACTAGACCGGTAACCCACCAAAATGTGTGCTCTCTTTCGCTTTTTAAACCTAATTACTCGTTAGAAGAACTCATACAGGTCAACTTTTACAACCTGTACAAAAGCTTTTCCTTGTAAAACTATTCTTTAAGATGGCCGCTCTAAAAACAAAGCTTCGGAGAAAATAATGCAAATTGCGAAAACTCTCTACTTTCACACGTATGCGACCTCATGACCCGTACTAACTGGTAGAAATTGCCGTTTGAATTATCGAAAGTAATAGACTTTAAATAATATTTTGCCTTCGCTCGTTTCAGCCAAATTTTAATGACGTCGAGTGCTAGACAAAGACCTCCCCCAAGGATTTCAACGACTGGTAGCTGCCCGCATCCAGACACTTCCCGCGACCTTCACCAAATAGTCGGTCCACCTAGTGGGAGGCCTCTTTCGCCCTATTACACTCTTTTGCCTTATAGAGATTTTACATTTGAAAAGGTTTTTATATCTCAAAATAAGATTAATTAATTTATTAAGACATTTATGCCCGTTTTCACCATCAATCCCTAATTTTTAAGTGACCCCTAGGCCTATGGTAACACATAACAGGAATTTTGTTTTCATGGGGGTTAGTTAAAAATTAGGGATTGATGGTGAAAACGGGCATTAGTCTCCAATGCATGAGCACGATCCTCTTTATTTGGAAAAAACGCCTTCCACCATCTTCCTAAACTCCCTTCTATCTTGGTTTGATCATCTTTCCATCAAATAAGATGCAGGTCAAAAATTTGTGATTGCACTCGAATCATCTTCATCATAATGATGATGATTAGGTCATTTAGTCTCCACTGCAGAGGAGCACGACCCTCTAATTTACCAGAGGCAAATGGACGATTTGGTTTACACTCCCCACGCTGGCCAGACGGGTTGGGGAGGCCTGATGCTCACATATTTGTCCCTTATTCGCCTCTTACAACATCCACGGGAAGAGTAAGGTCCTACTACGTTCAACTACAGAAAACTTGACATTCACTGGTTGGGTTTTTATTGGCGGTCAAGCTGTAGATCCTGGCTACACAGGAGTTGCAGCGGTGGGAACGAGAGGTGGGAATAGTCCCGTAGAATCGCTACTATAGTAGTTAGTCTGTCGTAAACACAGTCGTTTTAACCTTCATCAAGACGTAATCTGTCTGTCTCAAAGTCAATATGATTGTCGATTGGTTACTTCCACTCGAAAGATAAAGGTTATCTAAAAATCAGTTACTAGTATCTACTCGTATGATGATTTTAAGTGGCTATTTGCCGGCCAAATATTGATGTAACCTTGCCAGAGCTTCACATGCATGATCATTGCGAAAATAATTCCAGTGCATTTTAGTCATAAATTAGCATCAGATTTTATTACGGGTTGAATTGAAAACTCCTTTTTTTAAGTCGGTTAAAAATTAGTTTAGCTGTAGCTGGACCCGGAGCACGAATAAACGTCATAGTCGTTATGGTAATCGTTCTTTTATGAAAAACAAAACCGGCCGCTAAGATTGCGATTACGAATTATTCGTGCTCAGGGCACTGAGCTATTTCGTCGTTTTGATGAAGTGATCGAACACAGAAATACAGTAGGTACCTACACCTATTGATTCTGTCGAAATCGTTAACTTGTTAGCTACAACAAGCTATTTAAAATTGTCATTTTTATGCGAAAAGTAAAAGTAAAGAACTCTGTTAAATGTTTGCACACCAAAATCAGCCATGAATTCTTGAGTTTGAAAAGGGTGAAATACCTACCAGATTAAAGTTAATGAACCAAAGTTATTAATCAATGATAAAGATTTCATAACCTCCTTCCTACTTAGTTTACATTTCACAATACGCTTGATTTCATTTAGATTTTCAGCGAGAGATTAAAATAAAGCGTTACAGAAGCTACGTAAGGAGCATTAACGTAAGTGCGCCTATTAACGACCCCCCAAAATTTGTATCCTATTACCGCCCTATTTTTCTTTCTTTCATAAAAGACATAATAACAGGTTCCAGAAAACACGTTACTTAAAAAATATCTAGATATGTTTATTGACTATCAAAACGATTAAAGTTTGTGTTCGTAAATAACCAGTAAACGGAGTTATTTCACATTAAATGGGACGCGCCCGCAACGGACGCACTTTTCATACTGACGCGCTCCCAGCTACTTAAGGTGCACCTTGTTATTAATTAGCGATTTTAACACATTTAAAATGAGTATACCAACATGTTTTTGCATAACAATATTAATTCGTACTTTAGTTTCCTTAATAAACCCTCAATATAGCCCTCTCGCTGTATTTATGTGGCTTAAATACAATTTTAAATAAGGGCGGTAATAGAAACACTTNCACGCGCCGCCCGAACACCGCCAGCGCGCGCATCGCCCCGCTGCAACACGACGAGTGTGTGTGTGTGAGTGAGGTGGCAGCCCAGCCCCGCCCCGCCCGCACCCGCCCCCGCCGCACTCACTGCCGGTCGTGGCGCTCCACGTGCCCCACCAGCGCCACCAGCTGCGGCTCCAGCGCCGGGAACAGCTCGCCCATGAAGCGCCGCGTCTCGGCGCCCGCGCGCCGCTCGCGCTCGCCGCCGTCGCTGCGCTCGCTCCGCTCGCCGTCGCTGCCGTCGCTCTGGAGTCAACGAAAGTTCAGTTGGCGCCGGTCCGAAAGCTTCGAAACCGCGCGACGGGCACGAAACGGACGAACCTTCACGTCCACGTCGAGGTAGAAGAACTGCGTGCAGAAGTCCTGTTCCGCGTCGCACAGGCTCTCGACCAGCGTCAGCACCTGGACACAGAGGAGCGAGATCGAGAAGGCCCCGGGCGGCCCGGGACCGACGCGGCGCGCGTACTCAACTCACGCCGTCCAGGATGGGGTCGGCGCGCTCGGGCGCGGCGCCCACCAGCGCGGCGCGCGCCTGCTCCGACGCCGCGCCCACCGCGCGCTCGTACACCTTCGCCCACGTGCTCGTGTACACCTGCCGGCGGAACAGACCTCGAGTCGAGGGATCATTCGTACGGTCATCGTCGCGCGCCGAATGCGAACGAGGAGCCCACCTTGGCCAGCCCGTCGAAGGCGCGCTCGTCCATGTCCTTGAGCCAGCGCATGAAGGGCGCGTAGGGCAGCAGGTCGGCGTGGTGCTTGCGCGGGCGCGGCTCGTGCGCCGCCTCGTTGCCGAGGTGGATGAGCGCGTTGTTGAGGTGCCGCGCCAGTGCCGCCGCCAGCGCCTCGCGCGCGCGCGCCAGCCNTACCTCGTCTATAGGTCGGTAATAGAAACAACTGCTTATTCAGATTAAATTGCTATTTATTAATTATTGTGTGATTGAATACTCATTGTTACTACTTGAATTCAAAGATTACTTCATCATTGTTATAAATAAATTAGAGATGAAACGGATAGTTGTTTGGCCGGATACCGGATACCGGATATCCGGCCAGCTGCTAGGCCGGATAGCCGGATATCCGGCGGCCGGATAGTTGGCCCATTGTCTCATTGCATGTCGTGACGAGTTTAGGTGCTTCGAACGCGATCAGTGGGTCTATTAGTAGACTAGACTAGTCACACTTTTCGAAAATCGAATCAGTCCGAATAGAATGTCAGATTTTGCCACTTGTCTAGGGGGCAGATCAATTCGGGCGATTTCGGTTGCCATTGTGAGTGTGTGATTGAATAGCGAAAAGGACATCATCCACGATCCATACATTTTTGGTCCAAAATCAAAAGTGCCGGCCTACAAAAAAAAGTGCTGTATTCTGACAGAACACGTCCGCCTTAGCATTTGTTACTATGGCCACAGAATAATAATAAGTACTACGTACAGAAGTTTTACTTCGCAAAGGTATTTAAAAAAATGTATGCTCAATGTCATTAACAATATGGTGTAATTTAGCCTGTCTCAAGAGTCAAGCACCATTTTGTTGACAAACGTCAGTGATCGGCACTGCGCCGAAGCTATAGGGCTGACTTCGGTAAAATGATGTGACGTGAGGTGCCAAACTGCGGAAAATGGCGGAGTAAATACACGATTTAGCATGAATTATCATGAATAATATTAACTACTTATTTACCTCTCAGTGTCTTGAGGCAACTTAAAAAAGTACATTCTGTGTTTTTATTATTATTTAGGCAGTTAAATACATACTGCACAGTATTTAGTACACCATTTTCTTTATTTTCTTCCATCATACACAATAATACGCGTGCGTGAGTCAATGTTCGCTCGTATGTGAGGCCTTGTCGAATAGTATCCTGTAGGTACGTGGGCCATCGTGCGTGTTTTGTTTTCGATATAAACTCGCGGAGATGAACAGGCCTGCTATGGCACCAAAGCTGTAGCACTACTGTGCGTCTTTCTTCTTTTTATTTTATTTTTTATCTTCTCTTATGTTGTTTTCTCACCTATA